TTTATTTGTTTCCTTTATTGATTCAAAAAAATAATAAAAAAAGAAAATCATTGATATCTAGGCCATGTTACTCTATAAAAATCCTTAATCTTTTTATCATATGTGACCATTGATCTGTTCAAAGGATCTTTCCCTTGGGTCACTTCCGTTCAGATCACCAAGAAACGACATGCATCAGCAAAATTTTAAAAACAAGGGAGAGAAATGGTGATTAATATGACAATGTTTGACAGTTTTCAGACAAGAAACTCTGTTGATATCATTTCAAAAAATTCTACCCATTTTTTGAATGTTATTACATCCATGTAATACATCATTTCGCGACAACTTTGCCAATTTTTAATGGAAAAATTGCGATAAAAATATATGATTTGTCTATATCTATGCGCATGTAAAAGAGAATTTTTCCGAAGATAGAAAAATCTATAAGAAAGTTTTAAATCTGCTACATTTATATACTAAATTTAAGTGCTATATATATATATGTTATAAACCGAAATTTTATTTAAAAAATATAAATATAACATTTTAATTAAAGATATCTTAATGGTTTCAAAAAAATAATAAACCTACCACACTGTTATTAATTTAGAAATAATTTTTAAAAAATTACTCACTTTGATCAAATTATTAAAGGTAATTAAGTGATCAATAAATGTTTAAACATGTTTCCACTTTTTATAACTTAATTATAATTACAAGCTGTTGATCTAGAATTATAAAAAGAAATTACTAAATATTCTTTTATAGTCACTCTTCTAGCTTTCATGAAACTATAAAACTTCATAACGATGATAGATAAAGCAAACAACATAATTATTAAAGAAATTATAAAATATTTAATACTAGAATAATTCTAGAATATATTATAATTGTAAAACTGATTTATGACAAGCAAAAATAGAATATTTCACCGAAATTTTCTGACATTGTATAAATATAATAAACGAATTTAAGATATCCGACATCAAAAATCCTATAATAATTTAAACATAATTAAAATTAATGATAATTATATTAAGCTTTAATTATCTTCCAACAAGCTAACAATTACAACAGTATCATTTTCGATCGATTAATAAATATTTATTGAACAATATACTATTTATAGGTGACTATTTATACATGAAATTTCACATTAAACTGTTAAATAATTACAACAGATATTATACACGAACCAATCATGTAACTTGCCCATTATCATTAAAACTATTTACTATTCAAGTCAGGAAAACTTAATTATCTATTATCCTTATCTACTAATCACTTTAGGAAGACTGCTACAGTAGCACAGATCTGTCTAAATACTAATAATAATTAAATATTTTAATAAGTAAAATTATATGGATAAGTAGTTACAATTTACTTTTTAATTCGGGTTTACTTTCTTATGTATAATAAGATTATAATAAAAAAATTTATTATTATTCGTATATTCTCTTCTGATGTTTCTCCACTCTTGTTAAAGTGTATATCTTTGTTAAAAATGCCACACTTGTTATTATTTTTTCGCTTCTTTTATATTGGATATTTCTTTTTCCTCCTCCTATGTTTTCCTTTCATAAAATGAGTCCACTTGCTTCATTACTCGGCTACCTTTAGTTGAATAGAGAAAGAAAATATCAAATTATGAGATAACCAGTGATGCGTGTTCAACAATTGTCTAGGATAAATTGGTATACATCACTCTCCACACATCATACGTTGGCATTGATTTTTCACAAAAGTATTCTCCCACTGAGAATAATATTGACTTAATTGTGTGTAAATCGAATTTTAAATTAACTCCACCAAAAAGTTGGTAAAAGTTATTAAAATCTATTTTTCACCCTCCTCTTTACTTTAAATGTGATTTAACTTGTAAAATACTCGATTATATTTATAACTTTCTCGTTTTTTTAAAAATTTTATTTAAAAATATACTGGAGAATTGTGTGTAACCGAATTGTCACCATCGTCACTGTCACACTATTAAGATTCTAGTAGCCAATCGCAAATTGTCTGTACTTTTATTGCTATTTTTACTGCCCGTTAGCACGTTATTGTTTAGATCGTAATTTTTATGAGTCACTAAGCAAACCTTCACAAGGAAGGAAGAAGCTTAATCAGATGTGGTGGCAGCCGTGCGTCCGGCTAATATGAGCCTTTCCTCTATTTCTCCTGATAGGATAACTTTGTTGTTTGGCCTTTACAGTTTTACCACAAATATTCTATAGAATATACATAAATTTCCAAGAGGAAACCAGAATTTTTATTAATCCATCTAAAAAAAAAAGAAAAAGTTTTTATATGTCCTGCTGAAGTTGTGTTATACTTACATTTAAATTTTTATGATTTAATAGTAAAGTAATTTTAAATTAAATTTTTGAAATTCTATCAATTCACATTTAAGAAACTTCGCTTCTACAGAAAAAAACCATATTAAAAATTTATATAAAATTTCTATAAAAGTTGTGTAGCACTTCAGATCAAAAATTCATATAAAAACATTTTATTTGTTTCCTTTATTGATTCAAAAAAATAATAAAAAAAGAAAATCATTGATATCTAGGCCATGTTACTCTATAAAAATCCTTAATCTTTTTATCATATGTGACCATTGATCTGTTCAAAGGATCTTTCCCTTGGGTCACTTCCGTTCAGATCACCAAGAAACGACATGCATCAGCAAAATTTTAAAAACAAGGGAGAGAAATGGTGATTAATATGACAATGTTTGACAGTTTTCAGACAAGAAACTCTGTTGATATCATTTCAAAAAATTCTACCCATTTTTTGAATGTTATTACATCCATGTAATACATCATTTCGCGACAACTTTGCCAATTTTTAATGGAAAAATTGCGATAAAAATATATGATTTGTCTATATCTATGCGCATGTAAAAGAGAATTTTTCCGAAGATAGAAAAATCTATAAGAAAGTTTTAAATCTGCTACATTTATATACTAAATTTAAGTGCTATATATATATATGTTATAAACCGAAATTTTATTTAAAAAATATAAATATAACATTTTAATTAAAGATATCTTAATGGTTTCAAAAAAATAATAAACCTACCACACTGTTATTAATTTAGAAATAATTTTTAAAAAATTACTCACTTTGATCAAATTATTAAAGGTAATTAAGTGATCAATAAATGTTTAAACATGTTTCCACTTTTTATAACTTAATTATAATTACAAGCTGTTGATCTAGAATTATAAAAAGAAATTACTAAATATTCTTTTATAGTCACTCTTCTAGCTTTCATGAAACTATAAAACTTCATAACGATGATAGATAAAGCAAACAACATAATTATTAAAGAAATTATAAAATATTTAATACTAGAATAATTCTAGAATATATTATAATTGTAAAACTGATTTATGACAAGCAAAAATAGAATATTTCACCGAAATTTTCTGACATTGTATAAATATAATAAACGAATTTAAGATATCCGACATCAAAAATCCTATAATAATTTAAACATAATTAAAATTAATGATAATTATATTAAGCTTTAATTATCTTCCAACAAGCTAACAATTACAACAGTATCATTTTCGATCGATTAATAAATATTTATTGAACAATATACTATTTATAGGTGACTATTTATACATGAAATTTCACATTAAACTGTTAAATAATTACAACAGATATTATACACGAACCAATCATGTAACTTGCCCATTATCATTAAAACTATTTACTATTCAAGTCAGGAAAACTTAATTATCTATTATCCTTATCTACTAATCACTTTAGGAAGACTGCTACAGTAGCACAGATCTGTCTAAATACTAATAATAATTAAATATTTTAATAAGTAAAATTATATGGATAAGTAGTTACAATTTACTTTTTAATTCGGGTTTACTTTCTTATGTATAATAAGATTATAATAAAAAAATTTATTATTATTCGTATATTCTCTTCTGATGTTTCTCCACTCTTGTTAAAGTGTATATCTTTGTTAAAAATGCCACACTTGTTATTATTTTTTCGCTTCTTTTATATTGGATATTTCTTTTTCCTCCTCCTATGTTTTCCTTTCATAAAATGAGTCCACTTGCTTCATTACTCGGCTACCTTTAGTTGAATAGAGAAAGAAAATATCAAATTATGAGATAACCAGTGATGCGTGTTCAACAATTGTCTAGGATAAATTGGTATACATCACTCTCCACACATCATACGTTGGCATTGATTTTTCACAAAAGTATTCTCCCACTGAGAATAATATTGACTTAATTGTGTGTAAATCGAATTTTAAATTAACTCCACCAAAAAGTTGGTAAAAGTTATTAAAATCTATTTTTCACCCTCCTCTTTACTTTAAATGTGATTTAACTTGTAAAATACTCGATTATATTTATAACTTTCTCGTTTTTTTAAAAATTTTATTTAAAAATATAAAAATTCCAAACGTGTTTTTGTAACTAGATTAGCTTTTTTTGATGTTATCTACACATGAAATTTTTCAGTAAGTAACAATAATAAAATGATGATAAAAATATGTCAATTTCCACTTTTTTTTTTAAATTTAAATTTCAAATCTAATTACTATTGTTACGTCATTAAAAGCAATTATTTATTCATTACGTTACAATATTAAAAAAATAGTGTATATTTTATTCATATCTATTTATAGCATCTAAAAATTTGTGCATTACAGAAATATACAAGTTTGTTTTTTGATTCTAAAAATAGATATAAATGAAATAAACATTATTTAGTTTGTTACGTAACAATGAAAAAAATAAATGTCAGTTTCATTCATATCTACTTTTAGCATCTAAAAATATGTACATTACAGAAATGTACAAAATTTTTATGCTAAAAATAGATATAAATGAAATAAACATTATTTTTTTTCTGTTATGTAACAATGAAAAAATAAATGTCAATTTTATTCTTATCTACTTTTAACATCTAAAAATGTGTACATTTGTGTACACATTTTTTGTTAGTTTTTTTTTTAAAAGCGAAATTGATATTAATTAAATGACAATAATATCAGCTTACATTGGGTTAAATCAACATCATTTTAAGTAAGTACATATCAGTACGGTCGTGGTTCATTTGTCAATTTGATAACAGATGTCAAATCTGCGTCGTAACAAATACGATTTTTATCACAACAATTGGATTTAGTAAAGAGACCTTACATAGGATTTCAAGTCATTTACTTTGTATCCAACTAACTCTACTAACTTAGTTTACAAAACGTAATACTGCTAACATCTAATCAGCCATACGTAGTTTTCTTGATTGCAAATTAGTAATATTTCCTTTTATCTTTGATTGCATCTTTTATTTAATTTATTCACTTTTATCTAAAATAAATGTAAACATTTTTATTTTTATAAATATTTTCACTTCTATTTAAATAACGAAAATTTACATTTATCTAATTTTAAAGTTTATTTAAAATATAATTTATTATTATTATTATTTATTTTTTTAAATTAAAATGAATTTTTATTTAAAGATTTCTCTTACGTCTATACAGTATAGATCTGTACGTATGCACGTAGGATTTATATGTTATCAATATGTTAAAATTATAAATGTAAGTAAGTTATTAAAAAATTTTTTAAATATAAAATTATGATAAATGATTTAGAATTTATAAAATCATATTTAAAATTGCTAGTGGAACTAGTGTAATATATACAAAATATCTAAATAATTTGATTTATTGAGATGATTAATGTTCAAAGGTTCAGTAAAGAATTTAATAAAAATAATGTT